AAATCTTCTTTTCAACCTAAAGACTCACAGTTATTATCCACCTTGATCTGTTAAACACACAATTCCTCTTCTCAAAATCTTCTTTTCAACCTAAAGACTCACAGTTATTATCCACCTTGATCTGTTAAACACACAATTCCTCTTCTCAAAATCTTCTTTTCAACCTAAAGACTCACAGTTATTATCCACCTTGATCTGTTAAACACACAATTCCTCTTCTCAAAATCTTCTTTTCAACCTAAAGACTCACAGTTCTAAACTCACCCAAGGGTCACCTTGAATTATATATGATTACAAAACAGATAACTTTATCCTTCGTCAAAAGTTTTAGTAAGGAAGTTATACTCTCTCCCCTCATCTTCCTCCTTACCTGCAAATGCCACTCATTCTGCCTTTGGTCTGTCACAATGATAGGTGAATTTCTTGTTGGCCAGTTGGTTAGAGTGCAGTTTCTGAATAGAGCTGCTCAACAGTCAGGGCAGGGACAAAGTCGATGACATAATGCCAAGACACGTAAAGATACATAAATCTAAATGGCATGTGTAGATTATTGCAATTATATAAAGATAATGAAACACAATGTAGTAACTAGAAATAGTTGAGGGAGATAAGCAGTTCGGAAACATTAAATCCAAAAAATAAATAAAAGATGTATATAAGATCATGGAAGGCGCAAAAGCCTTTCTTTAGTCTTGAGAATACAAAAAGCTATTTATTCAGAATGTATTTTTGTAAATAATACCTGGATACTTTAGAAATCAATATTCTACCTCCTTCAGATCATATAAATCTTTTGCCTTTTACTACTACTTTTTAGTACTAAAGATTTACATGGCATGGAATGTTTATATTCTGTTTGTAACTAATTTTGGTCTCTCTCTTGTGGAATACTTTTCCCCTTGAAATCCACCAGGCTGCATCCTCTTAATCTTCCAAAAAGTAGTTAAGAGCTGATTTTTCTTTTGGGGGATAGTTCTGTTGAAACAAGTGATTATATAGTTGGATGGATATAGTTGATAGAGTTAATCCATCTGGTTTTTCTTGTTCATTGTATGTTTTTATTGGTGTCTTTCAACAATCTATTAGTGCTGTTTATTTTTCTTGTTGTTTCACAGCTATAGTACTTTACTGGTTACTTTTTTAGATCTGTATCTCCATTTTCCCACAAATAGATGGCATTTCAGGTGATTAAGAAATGAACTAAATCTATCTATCATCTGCCTATCTAGCTATCTGTCTGCCTGCCTGCCTGCCTGCCTGCATTCATGCATGTCTGTCTGTCTGTCTGTCTGTCTGTCTGTCTGTCTGTCTATCTATCTATCTATCTATCTATCTATCTATCTATCTATCTATCTATCTATCTNTCTTTTAAAACATGTTTCTTTCTTTTCACATCCAGAGAAATATTCTGCCTTTTCAATATTTCCTAGGATATTTCATTTTTCTGGGAGGGGGCTGGCTGATAGCTTCCAACAAGTTTCCTCCTACAGGAGGAAAGAATCAAGAATCAATGAAGTAATATAATAAAACTCAAAAAAATAATAGTTATGAGTAAAATAAGAGGGTTAAGAATGGTGAAATCCAAATGATATACAATAGAAGGGGAAATTATATAAGGTGAGCGGTATTGATTGATAACTGCTATTAGAAAGAACAGGAAGCTCCTGTTCGTATTGTATTGTGTAAATGTGGTGTATGTCTAGGTTTTGTGTCTGTGTATTTTACATGTTTGTTAATAAAAAATAATATATATATATATAAAAAAAGAAAACATAAAGCTCTACTATTTTATTTTAATTTTTTTCAAGGCATTTGGTAAGAGAAGGAGGATTTCCGCCTTTCAACAGTCTGTAAATGAATCTGATAAAAATAAAAAATGTTCCACTCGCTTACATTCCACTGGCCCAGCACCTCAGAATAAAATGACCATGGAAGGCAGCACCATTGAGTTCAGGGAAGGAGTATTCCTATCATATGTACAGTAGTCAACTGAACCAGAATTGCAGCAGAGGCACTTTTATGCCGTGGGACTTTTTAAAAAAAAGATTTCTTCCTATATGTATTTGCTTTCCTCCGTCTTTGAAATTATCCAAAGGTTTTTCCTTCTGGGCACAAATTATGGTTAGAGATCCATGCATAAAACAGTTTTTTCACAATGCCTAGACCCCACCTGTTTGTTTAGATATGGATTTCTTCTCAGAAAGATCTACCTTTCCCCACCTGTCACCTTCCCAACACTCAGCAAAGACTTAAAAAAAACTCTAGGATTTTAAATCTATGCAGAATTGGAATACTAGATCAGCTTTATAAATTTTAATTCCTTTCTAAAGCATGATAACATTATTTATATTGTATTTTTACCTGCAGTATTTAATAGATTTTCATATTGTAATTTAGTAGTTATACATTGTCCTTGTTTTTGTCTTATGAACTACAGAGAGTATCTATTATAAGTTAATGGTAAACAGTGGATGTACATACATAATAATCAATCAGCAATGCTTTGAAGACATCTTAGATATATTTTTTCTGCACTTGAGTAAGTAATTCTACAGAGAGAAAACTAGATTAGAAGACCAAAGTACAAGGAAAAACAAAGGAAACAGAAATTATTAACCAAAGAATTGAGGAGGCAAAGAGACAATGCTCTGGAATAAGCTCAAATTACACATAAGAAAACTTTCCCTTTTCCTTAAGATCCTAATGTGCTGAATTGATATTATCTCCACCAGTCTCGCATAGAAATTATTATGGGAGAGAGGATGTCAGCAATAATGCTGAAAATAGAGCTGTATTTATCTGTAAACTATCAACAAAGATCTCTTCCAAGTCTATTATTCTATTATTCTGTTAATTCTCTGGAAAAAGTTAAAACACTAAGTGATAAGCAAACAGGAATGAAAAACATATTATCCACCTTGATCTGTTAAACACACAATTCCTCTTCTCAAAATCTTCTTTTCAACCTAAAGACTCACAGTTATTATCCACCTTGATCTGTTAAACACACAATTCCTCTTCTCAAAATCTTCTTTTCAACCTAAAGACTCACAGTTATTATCCACCTTGATCTGTTAAACACACAATTCCTCTTCTCAAAATCTTCTTTTCAACCTAAAGACTCACAGTTATT